GGAAATTTTGTGCTGGTTTATTCTGATAAACCAGCTTTTTTTGTTTTTTTGTTTTTTTCCCCTTGAGATGGGGATCTTGTTATGCAGTTCAGGCTGGCCTTGAACTCAATATTTACCCAGGCTGGTCGTCAACTCCCTGCAATCTCTCAGCCTACTGAGTCACAGCCTCCTGAGTGCTGGGGTTACAGGTGTGAACTCCTGACACCTGCTTAGTTTTATTTCTTTTCACAGGAATACGTAACAAACCCAACTCTGTTCAAACTGTACACTGTAAACTGGAAGATGAGGAAGAGATTACATAAAACAGGCAGCAGACTTGAATTTCTAAGTAAACATTTTAATCTTTCTTATACCTTTAAGGGGGAAATTTAGTACTTTGTGGATTATTTTGGCATTAGAGGGAAAACAGAAGGATCTAGAGATAACAATACTGGAAGGACAGGGAGGTAAAATAGAAACTGAAATGGGAAGGAAATTCATAGGCTCACTGCTTTCCCCTCTGCTCCCCTCTTCTGCCCTCCTCTTCCCGTCCTCTCCTTTCCTAGGAAAGTATTACTGATATCATTAGAATAACTTACATCAGAGGTAGAGGGAAGGAGAAGCTGAGTAATACACTACTGAGAGAGAGAGAGAGAGAGAGAGAGAGAGAGAGAGAGAGAGAGAGAGAGAGAGACTTAAACTGAAAAGTTATTAACTCCTAAACAAAAATTAACCAGATTGCAATTCTGAGTATCAAATACATGGAAAAACAAGAAAATAAGATGAATGAGAAGGTGTAATGTGTATCTAACTGGCATCCTAACGTATGAAAATAGAATGCAGGAAAAGCAAAATTCAAGAAGTTGAATATTAAGATTTTTCCACAATTTAGGGGTAACCCAAATACTTTTAGGGACAATCTAGGTATTTTTAGACCAACATAAAGTTCACGTTAAAGAGATCCTTAAGCCAGCCATGGTGGTACAATGTCTGTAATTCCAGCACTGGGGAGGCTGAGAAGCGAAGATTAAATTCAAGGACAGCCTGGACTACTTAGCGAGGACAGAGAGGGAGAGGGGGACAGGGAGGAAGGGGAAGCAGAGGGGAGGGGAGAGGAGAAAGCGCTAGAGGATCCTCACAGTGAAGCAATGTGTAGAGGACATACGGTACTTCTGAAAGAAGAAAAACAATTCACAACGTGGCTTTAGATGCAAGATGAAATGGTGAATGAAGACACACAGAGAAATCTAACCCAACACTGACTATAATTTAAAAAGACAATGTATAATTTATGAGGACAGAAAAAAATGGATTACAAAATAAATTAGGACAGGGGTATGACAGGACTTAATCAAAGTTCAAGGCCAGCCTTGAACTCATGAGACTCCATCCCAAAAGTATAAAAACGGCAGGGGAAGTAGCTCAACAGAAGAACCTTGCCCAGCACGTGCAAGGCCCAGAGTTCAAGTTCAGCACAAAATAAATGTAAAAAGTATCTTCGGGCAAAGTTCAGGGAGAGCTGGGGGACAGAATAGTTAGAGAAGGATTACACGAGAGTTCATATCTAACTACTGAAGTGGCGGCCCTAGTCTTTTCTAGGACCCTGGGACATTCTGTGTTTACACTGAGTGATTGGCCCCTCTCCAGTGGCCAAAGGGACACACCTTTCACTAGAACTGAACTTTCAATACACTTCTTTTTGTCCTCTCCTAATTTAACTCACTGAGCAGAAAACCGTGAATTACCAGAAATCGGAGGAAACTATTATGAAATCACAGAAGCCAAAACAAAGGGAAGAAGGTAATTGGAAGAAACATTACTCTGGGATTTAAAAAGATCATCAAGCTAGGCATGGTGGCGCATGTCTGTAACCCTAGCACCAAGGAGGCTAAGGTCAGAGGATTGCTGCAAGTTTGAGGCAGGCCAGAGGTACATTTAAGATCCTATCACAAAAATAACCCAAATAAAGTAAAATAAAATAAAAGGCTAGCGCTCATCCTCAATTTGGGTCAATACAAACTTATTTTGTATATTCATTTTTAGTTTTGTTTTAGGTGCTGGGGATCAAACACATGACCTTGTGTTTGCCAAGCAGGCACTTACTTTGCTGAGCTAAACCCCCAGCTGGTTATATATTCACTTTTGACTGTATAACTAGAAGTCAAAAATTCTGGGTCACTGGCTAAGGGCTGATTTATAAACATTATGTACATGGCATAAAACTAAAATTGTACATATTTATAAATTCATTGCTTATGGATAAACAGGTAGCTTTTACATGGTATTAATCCATGAAACCAATTTTACTAATAATATAATTATAGTAAGAAATTGTGATTTATTAAGAACATTATTATTTTTTAAACATAAAAATTATCAGTGTCACGTGGGTAGTTCATTTCATATGCCTTCATATTCTAGGCTGGGATCAGTTTTTGTTTTTTTGTGTGTGTGTGGTGCTGGAGATTAAAGCTGGGGCCTTGGCACTAGGCTACATCCTCAGCCCTTTTTAATTTTTGAGACAGGATCTTGCTAAATTGCTCAGTTGCCCAATCTGGATTTGAATTTGCAATTTGCCTGTGTCAGCCACCCAGAATGCTGGGAATGCAGGCGTGCCCCACCACATCTGGCTAATGCTTAAATATAAATTAACCTTTGAATTGAGTTTAGAGGCTCATACTATAGTCCCAACACTCAGGAGGCTGAGGCAGGAGGATCAATAGAGGAATGAGAGGCCAGTCTGGGGTACATTAGTGAGACTGTCTCAGAAAACCAACAACAACAAAACAAAAATAAAAAATTAACCTTTGAATCTTTGAATATGATTGTAGAATCTGAACTATCTGTGGGTGTGTTGAGAGATCCATTACTGCTGATGATTTTGTGTAAGAATGAAGGTTTCATTAGTTACAGTAGTGGTATTTATGCCTCTCTAATTACTATCTTCTTAAAGGACCAGGGGCCACTTTTTTATTTAGAGGCTAAACAATGCAGACAAGCTGGTATTTCACTAAGACAGGGCAAGTCAGCTTATGATTGTTTTCTATGTTTGTTAGTGTAGTTTGATCACACAAAACAATGAATAATTTTTATGCTTTTGAATTAATGAGCTCATCTCATTACAGGCTCCAGGAGACATATTTTCCATGCTGACAACAGCTTTGAAGGTTTTTTAAAGTGTCATTTATAGGTTTTTGCCTAACTTCATAGATTTAGCCATTATGAAGTATTAGTCACAGTTCAAAGTCTAATGATGACTTTAAATAACTTTTTAAAGAATAATCATTCCAGGAGACACGTGTGGTGGCTCACGCCTGTAATCTCAGCACTCTGGAGGCTGAGGCAGGAGGATCCTTTGGAGTTTGAGACCAGCCTGGGGTACAAAGTGAGCTCAAGGCCAACCTGAACTGCACAGCAATGCTGACCCTGCCTCAAAAAGACAAAAAAAATTTCCCTAAATAAGATAAACTGTTCCTTTTATGATTACTTATATTTTAGAGTGATATATCTTTAGAAATTTGCTTTTAGAGCCCGGTGTGGTGGCATTTGCCTATAAATCCCAGCTTTATGGGAGGCTGAGGCAGGAGGATCAAAAGTTCAAACCTAGCCAGGGCAATTTAACAATTTAAGATAAAATTTGAAGAGAGGGGAGAGTGCACATGTAGCCCAGTAACTAGCTCAGTTACAAACATTCAGAGTAAAAGAAAAAAATAATAGACACAAATGTCTATCACAGGAGGCAAAATGTGAGGATTGTAAGAAAGTGCCCCCACAAAGGGAGTAAAAATGAAACTCTTTTGAATAATTTGTAAGATTTACTTTTAAGTGGCTAAAATACCTCCTGAAAGGAAGTTTTTGTTGTTGTTTGGGTGGTTTTTGTTCTTCTTTTGAGTCAGGGTCTCCCTACTGCATAGCCAAGGCTAGCCAGGAACTCCCAGCAATCCTGTCTCAGCCTCCCTGGGATGCTGCAATCACAGGCCAACAAAAGGCACACCTTGGTAGGGTGGTTTTGATGCCTACGGGAAGAGACCCTAAAGGTAGTAAATTAAAACAAAAGTGTGCCACTCCAAAGTTCATTAATACTAAACACAGTTCTTATAGAACTGTAAAGTAGATACAAATAACCTCAATGCTTATCTCTATACCTTATAAAAGGTAGTGAATAAAAATTTAAAAATATTGTATATCCAATTGAATTCTTGTTTTTTTTCAAGATGCCGCTGGTATCTGTACCTGGACTCCCATAAGTGTCATGCTCAGGCACTGGTACTCATTTTTAAAAAGTTCCCCCACATGATTTTTAACAGGTAGCCAGGACCACAGCACACTGGCTGGATTGTGGGGGCAATTCTGATCTTCTTAGTAGTGAATTTATTTTCTCTGCCCTTTTCTTTTTTGGTTCCATAAATAACAAGGATTTTCCAGTATTATTTTACTTGTCAATGTTGTTTTTATGAACTCCACTCATTGCCTGCCAGCCAGGATGCCAGGTTTTCAAATGCACCCTTTTCATCGTATTTGCACATCAACTCCTGAAGCAGGTGCCACCTCTATCAGCCTGCCCACAGCGATGCCCAAGCTCTCTCTCACTACGCTGATTTCTTTCCCCCTGACTGCTGATAGCGAATGGCTGTGCAATCAAGTCTCTGGGCGGTGATAAACGTTATCTGTGAACTCCAAAAAGGAACAAGCAGCCAAATGACACCCAAAAAGTGTGGTGGTCACCCTGAGGGGAAAGCCACACCGCAGGGCTGACCGAAGCCCCGGACCCGGAATCCCCGCGAGGCCCTGCCCTTAGATCCCGAGTCCTCCGTGGCCAGGGTCGGGGACAGTGGAACCTGCGAACGAAGGAGAAAATCTCCACTGTTTCCGACGACTGCAGACGGAGAGCCGCGGCCGCCGGACCGGGAAGACCGCGGCTCGCGCCCCCGCCGCAGACCCCGGAGGGGCCCGGGAGAGGTGTGCGACCGCGCCCAGCCGCCTGGCGCGTGGGAGCGACTGCGCCGCCCGCGCAGGGACCGCAGCGATTTAACCAAAAGGCGTGCGGCGCGGTGGCGGCTAACAGCCCAATCCCAGACCTCCGGCTCGCAGGCTTCCCTCAGGACTGCCGCGTCGTGCGCCGGTTGCCATGGCAACCCCACGCGGGCCTGGCTGGCACCGCGGCGCCCGAGGCCGGAAGTGACGCGCGTTCACCTGCCGAGCGGGCGGGGGAGGGGCGCGCCGCGGTGCCACCGCCTCTGCAGCCGCCGCGAGCCAGTCGGGAGCGCGCGGGGCGCCGGCAGAGCCAGAGCCGGAGCCGGAGCCGCCTACCTGCAGCAGCAGCCTCGCCCGCGGCCGGCAGCACCATGGCTCTTCTGCTGCGCTTCGTGCTCCTGTGCGGAGCCGCCGGTGAGTGGGAGCCGCCGGGTCCCGCGCGCTCGCCATCCCGGGGCGCTCCCTGCCCGCGGCCACCCGGGAACAATGGGCGTGGGGGAGGGGGCCTCGCCCCGCGTGGTCGCGCGGCCCCGGGGCGCTGCGGCCGGGTGCGGGGTCTCCGCGCGCCCCTGCGCGCCCCGGCCGCCGCGCCTCTCCTGCTCCCCGGCCGCGGGGCTGCATTTGCGCCCGCCTAGTCCGCTGTGACTCCTGTGTGGAGCCCGCGCGGCGTTACCCGGATTCCGAGCCCGGGGCGGCGTTTTCAGGTGTGGAGCCCAGTCCGAGCCAGCAGGCTGAATTACAAACGCCATTATTCTGTGCACGCTGAGCTGTTTGTGCCTGGAATCGCCCCGGAGACCTCTAGGAAAGGCGCGGGACGGGAACCCGCCCCACAGTCTCTCCTGAGAGGTTAGCTCCGGCCGCGCGCTGCTCTCTAGACGGGGAATCCTGAAGAAGACCGTGGGAAATCTAACGTACGTGCCCGCAGAAGGGCCGTATAGACGACGTCTGCATTCCTGGGCAAAGCGTAAAGGGAGCGATTGTTCACCTCAGGTTTGAGTTTGTAGTGAGTTGGTTCATTTTGAATGTGAGCCGTGTCTAATTGCACGGGGTGACTCCTGAAAGTGCGCCAAATATATCTATCTAAATTTAAATAGGTAGATAGATTTTTGGGGGGAGGGAATAAGAGGTATTTTTAAAATGCGTGGAGCATTACCAGATGTAAACGTTTTGACTCTTAAGAACACTGGTGTTTTCTTGTCAGTGTTTAACCAGCTGATCTCTGCGGGACCAAGTAAGCGCTTGCCTTCTAACTAGGCGTTTCATTAAAATAGAAAATCCGTTGGTGATACTTTAGGAGGCACACTGTGCTGTGTGGAGGCGCTGGAAGGGTGGTTTTTGTTTTTTCCCCCTCTCGCTCCGAAGCAGGATCAGGTGGCCCGAGTGGAGGGATGGCTCTCTGCTTCCTGTTGAAATGTTAATTCCATTGTTGAATGCCACAGCTGTGAGCCCTACTCCTGGGACCGTATTCTATTAGCAAGTCTAATCCTCAGTCTGGGGTGGGTAGAGCACTACCTCTATCTTTTTTGATGCGTGTCATTTAAGTTTGGCTGAAATTTCCTAAGGAAATCTTTCCTAAGGAAATCTGGGAGACACAAAGGGTCACATAACCATCCTATATGGTACATTCCCACCTTTGTTTTGTCAAGGCTTAAACTCAGATTGAACTTGAAAACATAAGGTTTCTCTTTTATGGAAAAAAAAAAGTTTTAGACCACATCTAAAGCAGAAAAGTGGAAGAACAAAAACCACGTAGAGGAAACGTTGTGTGTGTGTGTGTGTGTGTGTGTGTGTGTGCGCGCGCGCGCGCGCGCGCAGGGGTGAGCTCTTTAGATACTTTGATTTTTTTTTTCCTGAAATGCGTTACTTTAATAGGCACACCTTTAGGAGTGCTTTAGTATACAGTGTTTCTGTGCATAGAGGATACATTAGGGTGTATGTATTGTTTTCAGGTAAATAACACAATTTTTCTCCCAATTTTTCAGCTTAACTCAGAAACTGGAGCTGATGTATGGCTTTGAATATTTCTTTAAATACTTCTGACAATCTTAGAAATGCATTGTTATTAACTCAAGTTCAACATTAACATGTTTAAGTCCTATATTGGCAGAAAGAGGCAAACATACTAAGGTTCAGTGATATTCTTCTAGATTTGTCTATGTAGATTTTTTTGTTTGTTTTTGGTTTGACTAGTTCTGACTGGCTTTGAACTCACTACGTGGCTCAGGCTGGCTTCCAATTGCAGTGATCCTGCCTCAGCTTCCAGAGTGCTAGAATTACAGGCATGTGCCCCAACGCCTGGCTTGTCTATATGAAGTTTTGTAGTACACTCTCCTTGCTGATGAGACTTCTGTCATGCATTTTTATTGCCCATGTAATAGTAAGTCACGCTTTTAGTAATAGTAGTAGCAATAATAATAGAGCAATGGCAGTAGCAGTGATAGTAAAATTAAACCCTTGGCTGAATAGTTACTAAATGCTGGACCCTTTTCTAAGGGGTTTACGTGTATTCACTTAGTCTGTCAACCAGCCCTTAAGGATACGTATAATTACTTCATTTGTATAGGTGGAGAAACTGAGGCACAGGGTAGCTATGTAACTTGCCAAGTCACAGATTTTCTCTTCAGGATTCTCTTATCACTGTCCTGTTTGGCTTCTGAAGCAGCCATTTCCCTCTTTGATTACCTCTAATTGACATTCTGATTTTTTTTTCTTTTTTTTTGTGGTATTTGTGTCTGTGTATCAGTTCAAACTAAACTTTTATTTATTTATTTTTTAAATCCTGACACTCTAGCTTCTACCTCTAATCATCTGTCATTTTATTAGGACTCTTTGTTGGTTTGACTTTGTGCCAAGAACCAGAGGCTTTTAGTGCTAGGTTGTCGGTTTTGTGATTTTAGTTGAAAACTTTGAGAAGCCGTGAGAAGTCTAGTGTTCTCAGAGTTGAAAGAGGTATTGGGAGGCCAATGTGGTTCATGCATTAGCAGCATTTACATTACAAGCTTCAATAGGATGCTACTGATTTGGACATTACTGCTTCACTTGTATCTTCTTAGTAACAAAGCCACCGTCCTCTCTGTGTGCCTCAGTTGCTTTATATCAGGGATGGGGTTACTGGTGAGCGGGTAGGGGAGGTAGGGAGATACTGTATTGCAGTTAAATGGAAGGAATAATTTCAAGAGATCGGCTCAGCATGCTGATTACAGTTAATAACAGTGTGTTGCATTCTTGAAAATGGCTAGTGATAGGTTTTCCATTTTATTTACACATGAAAAAATAAGTATTATGGATATGTTAATTAGCTTGATAGTCATTCCAAAACACTTTATCTCTGGTCTTGCTGTTCTATTTTACTTCCCTGCTTTAGTTGCCAAGGGTAATGATCACCCTGTACCAGATTTATCTCTTTGGAGCTCTTTGACATCTATTTTGGTTCTTTGCAACTTTGTTGACCTGCTTCACTGCCTTCTAAAATATAGGTCCCTTAAATGTCAGCCTTCCCATGCTTTGAGCTGGTGTCCTATTATTCTCAGTCTCCATCTTAAACACAGGGAGCCTTAGGCTGTCCCTGGCTGCGACCTCCAAGTAGTTGCTACTAAATGAAAAATATTTTGAGTTCAGCTGATTTCTTTGGATTTTGAACCATTCAACTGTTTCACGGTCCACTTCCATTTGAGTAACTCAGATTAAGTCTCTAAGTGAAATCATGCAATAATTAATTGGTTAAATGATCTAGTAATTCAGATATTTGTGGCATACTATGTACTGTGCCCCAACAATATATAGTGCTTCAAGTTGCAGAAGGTGTAGAACATTCCAAGCAGATAGTACAGGTTTTGCAAAACTGTAACAAGCAGATGGTTGTCTGAAGGTCTGATGTGTTTTGGAAGTTGAGAAGTTCAGTGCATATAAAACATCTTTACCAATACTGCTGTGATGTTTAAGATACTTCTGAGTCATTCATATAAGAAGGCCTAGGGTGAGGTCTCAATTTTTTTCTTTTTAAAAGACTGCATGAAGTCTGCTAACTTCATTTCAAGTGACAGAGATCTAAAAGCCATGCTGATAGCTCCATAAGAAATTAAAGATTGCTCAAGTAACTCCCACCCCCCCAAAAAAAAGTAAGTTGTGGAGGTGTTTAAGATTTAGTTTCTGGAATGGTAATCATTCTGGAGGCAGGTGGAACCAGTATCTGTAACACAAGTATCTGTCTGGGGTGATCTGGAATTGAGCAGACCCTCTGGAAAGAGCAGAGCAGTGTTGGGCTTCCTCATTGGTGTGGAAAGCATTTCTGAGGAACCTGCAGTTAAAACTTGATGTCTGGGTGCCTGTGTGGGTACTAAGAAAAGTTGGTGAGAAACTTAAGATTTCTGGCTTGATTATATGGTTAGAACTAACAGCATTGAGGTGCCTAAGAAGACTCGACTAGAGGTAATAATGTACCCAGTAGGAAGATTTAAACAAAGGGCTGGTCCTCGGACAGTGGAAAGATGGGAAGTGTAGCACTGAAAATTCACTGATGATAGGTTTTAGCACCCAAGAATAACTAGATAGAACAGTAGAGCTAAAACAAGACTGGAATCGGAGGCGGGAGAAAAGGCCTGTAATAAGTCGGCCTAGGAGCGAGAAGCAGTGGTAGGAAATATAGAACTGAGTATATCCTAGAGCCTGATGAGAAATGAAGCCATCCTTGGATACTACTAAGACAGTCAGGTGGTTGTCGATTTCAGAGAAGACCATCTCTGCAGTGGTGAGAGTAAAGTAGATTTTAATAGGTCAGGTGAGCAACAGGTTAGGGGAGAATGATGAGAACTGTACTTTGTATTGTACATGATTTGACAGTGATGTGTTGTTCAGGTGGCTGTAATTCCAGAGGCCAGGAACATACCCAAGAATGGAGGTAGAAGCCAGCGGAGCGGATAAGGACTCTGAACTTTTCTCCAGACCTTGCACCTGGTTCACATCATCATTCTTCCCTGTAACACTATTCCTCCTTTACATTAATTCTTGAACTTTTGGGTTTTCAGGGATGTCACCCTGCTGTCCTGTATCACATCTGGATCCCATAAACTTTAAGCTTAGTTATCATCTCTGTACCCTTCTTTATTGCTTCTCTCTCTCTGCTTTTGTTGCCCTAACTAGATCTTTTGAAGGAGTGGCCTGCATTTATTGAATCCATTGTTTCTCTTCCTGTCTCTAATTCTTCCATTCTTTGAAATCTGTTTTCACCTCCACTACTCTAGACTGCAGTTACCACTGTGGCTACAAGCAGTGGACACATCATATTGTGTCAGCCTCTTGACCCTGTCAGCACAAACTCTTCTGAACAGTCTCTTTTTCCTCCTTTGTTTTCCTTTGTGTATTCAGTTTTCCCCTGGTACCATAAATGCAGAAGTTCCACAGTTGGTGGTTTTTAG